AAAAAAAAAAAAAAAAAAAAAAAAAAGATAAATTACTCTTTTTGTTTTTCTTGTATAACAACCCAGGAATCTTTGGATGGCTGCGGCAGAGGAGTGAAGTTTTTAGGTTTTTCGTTTCGGAGAGAGGAGAAGTCAGGGGGCCTTTCTTGTGAGAAAAAACCACCAAGAGCAGCAGCAGAAGCACGAGCTGCTGCTGCTCCTGCTGCTCCTGCTGCTGCTGCTGATGCGCCAGGCACAGACATGCTGCAGCAGAAACAAACAAAAAAAAAATCAAAAAAAAATGAAAAAAAAAAAATTTAAGATGCTGCTGCTGCTGCAGCAGCAGCAGCAGCAGCAACAGCAGCAGCAGCAGCAACAGCAGCAGCAGCAGCAGCAGCAGCAACATACCGTGCTGCAGCAAAGCTTCTCATTGCTTCTTCATGTGCAGCATCTCTGGGTCTTCTCTGCCAGTCTTGGTGTTCATTGGTTGTTTGCTGCTGCCGCATGCGAGTTTGCTGCTGCTGCTGCTGCTGCTGCTGCTGCTGCTGCTGCGGTGCTGCTGCTGCCTGGGGTAGATAGAAACTACCCTCAGCTAGATGCAAGAAGCCCTCAGTCTCCTTCGGCCTGCAGCTGGGGTGAGCTCGTATCTTAGCGAGGAAACCTATAGAGTACACATTGCCTGCTGCTGCTGCTGCTGCTGCTGCTGCTGCTGCTGCTGGGGTTGCTGCTGCTCCTCGGGTTCCTGCTGCTGCTGCTGCTGCTGCTGCTGCTGGGGGAGAGGCAGGCTCTGGCTCCTCCGGCTCATCGTCGCCCCAGGCGTCCTTCGGTGTGGGCTTCTTCATGCTGCTGCTGCTGCTGCTGCTGCTGCTAGGAGCTGCTGCTGCTGCTGCTGCTGCTGCTGATGGTTTGCTGCTGTCTGTCTTTAATGTAGAAGGTCTGGGGGAGGCGAGAGGAGAGAGGCGTCCTTTGCTGCTGGCAGCAGGTGATCGTGAACGCTGCGCTCCTGTTGCTGTTGCTGCTG